CGTATTTAATCCGTGCCTGCTAGTATACGACGCTGATCCGTTATTAAGGGCCAACTATGCGAGTTTGGTTCTGTGCAGCTTTAGCTGAATAATTCTATTTAATATTAGTTAGTTTCATATTTTCTATTTTGAGTTAAAGCTCAAGTGGAGGTTTCTTGTTCGCCCAAGAGGGGCCATTTGTAACTATATTTTGAGTTAGAATAAAAGTGTATTTTAACTCTTTTCCTGAGCTGTTACTTATATACAAGAACTCGGCGAATAGTCGCTACACAGTTCTTCAGGATGTAAGTAACTGTTATTTAGTTCAGAAGACTCATTTCATTTTATTGACATTTACCCCACGCATTTTAATTTAAGCTTCGCCCTGTGCAGTTGTGGCACAAGCAAAGACAGATATAACAAGAAATTTCCTAAAAGCGATATTTAATGGTAATCTTCCTAAATGAATAAAAGTACTCTTTGTTTTTTCTACTTTTCTGCCCCCTTTCTTTTAATAACAAAAGTCGAAATTTTAATTTCACAATACAGTTACATTTACTATTTCTAATAGCAAATATTCTAAGCTTGTCTAGAAAAACGGTGACCTTCTAGATTCGAAGCCATCAATAAAAAATATAACATCGCGGTTAAAATAAAAAATCGAACAGTTTAAATTCTGCCTCATTCCTGTGGATGAAAGCACATACATAAATGATACTGCTCAACTAGCATTATTTAGCATAAGAAATGTGGATGAAAACTTTGAATTTACCGAGGCACAGGTATTCATGCGGTCATTAAAGGGAACTGCAAATATGATGTGATGTTGTTCGTGAATTTCTCGAAGGGCTTTCAACTCTGAATGTACCTGTAACAAACTTATGTAATATTACACCAATTGGAGCACCAAGTGTGAGGAAAAAAAAAACCGGGACTCTATTCATATCTATACCGGGGTCGATGTTGTCTTTTTTCAGTTTCATTGATCACATTAATATTTGTATACTCTTTTTAAAAGTTTTAGAATAAATTATAATAGCCTGCTAATTTTTTTGTTTTTTTCCTCCCGCTCTCTACCAAAGAAGTTTGCTCATTACTGGTAATTAAGACACAATAACACGCCGAATAAATACTAATTCAGAAGACAAACAACAAAAATCAGCGTTATATTTTACAAAATTACACAAACTGGCATAAACTGGCTTATAATAATATTAACAAACTGGCATAAATGTATATATGGAGGCCCCAAATCTTCGAAGTGCGTAAAGCTTCTAAATGTCTTCATCTGTCCTTGTCCGTTACGGAAGAGAACAAATATAACGGTGTAATTTTGTAAATATAACGCTGATTTTTGTTGTTTGTCTTCTGAATCATTACTGGTATTTAAGTGAACTTCATAAGAGAGTAGGCGTCCCTTAATGTCTTAATAAATAGCGTCCAACTTGCCAAAAAGTGTCGAAACTTTATGCATATTGCTCAATCCGACTAAACCGAATCCAGATTTCGCCTTTACCTCAGAAGCGCTATGAGTAAGAGATATTTGTCTCTTTACAGTAGAAACATTAATTAGAGCAACGAGTGACATGCATGGGTGGCGTTAGTATGTTATTTTGCTATACATATGTATTTTTCATGGCAGACACATTTCTTAGACTTCTCCTCCGACGCACTTCGATATACCACGTATATAAGATAATACTTGGTTTCAAATCATAAATCTTAGCTTCTTCCAACATCAGAGCTCAACGATTGAGCAATATAAGCGTGTTTGGGGTATTAAGGAAATGGATATCACGAAAGAGATCTTGAGAACTCGGGAAAAGCGGTACCACTAAAAATTCCCGTTGTCGATTTACCATGGAAGGTATGATGCAGCTAACCCACAACCAAGAGAAAAAGAATAAGGAAACAAACTGGCATAAATGTATATATGGAGGCCCCAAATCTTCGAAGTGCGTAAAGCTTCTAAATGTCTTCATCTGTCCTTGTCCGTTACGGAAGAGAACAAATATAACGGTGGCGGTTACAGCCGAAAACGTCGCGGCAAAAACATCGTAGACGAAAACATCGCGGAGGAAACAACGCAAGGCGAAAACGTCGTGCTTCAAAACCTCGTGGGAGAAAACATCGTAAAGAGAAAACATCACAGTTCTAAAACATCGTGGTACAAAAATCGTCGTCGAAAATAAAGCGGTTCAAAAAAAACTTCGCAGTTTAAAACATCGTCGTCGAAAATATCGTGGTAAAAAATAAAGTATTACAAATCATGCATGACGATAACATCGCAGACATGCTTTTTTCAGACATGCTTTAATAACTGTAAATGGATATTCCCATAATGATTTGTGAGCGCAAGATGGAAAGAAGGTAATTTTTTTATATTTTTATTAATTAATAAATATTTGCTGAGAAAATAAAAAGGAAACTTAAGCATAGAAAATTAATGCAACTTATAGCACTTAACAGAATTTTAAACCGACATAGTTAACTAACAAAGGCGCCATTAATAAATCATTTTTTATTAAGTTTTTGCTTTTAATATTTCATGGAAAGTATAATCTATAAGTTACATTTAATTTTCTATGCTTAAGTTTCCTTCTTACTTTTTCAGCAAAAATTTATTAGTTAATAAAAAAATGTGAAAGTAAAAATCACCCTTCTTTACACCTTGCGCTCACAAATCATTATGGGAATATCCATTTACAATTATTAAAACCTGAAAAACACATGTCTGCTATGTTATCGTCATGCGATGATTTGTAGATACTTTATTTTTACACGATATTTTCGACGACGTGTTTTTTAAACTGGCGAAGTTTTGAACCGCTTTATTTTCGACGACGATGTTTTTCTCTTTGCGATGTTTTCTCCCACGATGTTTTGTAGCATGACGTTTTCGCCTTGCGTTGTTTTCTCCGCGACGTTTTCGTCCACGATGTTTTTGCCGCGATGTTATCGGCGGACACCAACGGTGGCACCGAAATGATCAATCCTTGTCATTCAGTAGACTCCATAAATATATCGCAAGTTGTGATATCATAGATGTTGTTAATAAAACGTCCACCGTTTCAACACATGCAACCATTTTGCTGTTATTTATAAATTTGAGTATTATTTATATTCTTTGGGTGTCTTTGGGTAAAAAGGTAAGACAGTTTGGATACTGACGAACCCGTCGTAGTTAAGAGCAGGAAAATGCACCAGTGTCTTATCGTGCAGTAAATAGATGCTGCTGCCTTTCGACTGCGACTTTCGGTGAATTAAACGTTTTCGCAATGCACATTACTTCTTCAGCATTAATGCTTGAACAGATTTAAAAGAATGAATACTGAATTCGTAGCATATGTGTGGCCCTTCGCATTCATGCATTTTTGACTTGTGATGAATCGCTTTCATGAGTACTTGTCTAGAATGTAATTTATAAGAAATCTTCTAAATCGTAAGTAGACTTAAATCGACTTAAAGAATTTTATGTATGCAAAAGACCTACCTCGTGGTAATCTTCGCACGCTATTTATAATAAATTCATATTGTAAACTGCAAGCCATATAAATTGCTGTATTGTGAAGAAAAGCTGTAATAATGGAAGGATGAAAAGGTTAAAATATCAGCTAATTTTGAGGTGCAGAACATGCAAAACTCACAATGCCGACCATCCACTACTGTCAAAAATACAAATAACAGCAAAATGGTTGCATGTGCTGAAACGGTGGACGTTTTATTAACAATATGTCATGTAAAGCTGTTGTACGACTGGAAGTGACGTAGAAGATATTTCAGGGTAGGCAAAAGAATTCCATTCCATGTGGCTTGAATTCTGTCTGAATTAATCTAACCAATAGGCTGGTAATTCTTGTCGGACCAGACACTCTGTAGCCACTGACCAGACGTTTTCAAACGATAAGAGATTTTGAAAATGTGTCTGCCAAGGCAAGATTATGTGCACTCTATGTAATGAGTACACCCTATGGCTTCTCATCCCGCTAGTTCAGGTGTTTGGACGATGTAACGATGAGGTATGCAAGCTTCCAGCGTTCATTCCCATCAGTGCCTCTCTGCACACGGATATGGTCATCATATCGCAGGCAAAAGCAGGATTCATCAGAAAAGATGGCTTCAGGCCACTGACGCATTCTATTATGTGCGTCATGTAATACAATATTGTAGACACTGATTTTTGGGCTGTAGTATCAAGGAAAGCTGAGTTTTGCTTATTATCTATGGCATGAAAGTCCTCGTTGCACCGTATAAATTCTTGATATGGTGCAACATACCCAGTTTCCTGATCCCAGGATATGTGATGTGGCTGTACGATCCCTTACAACGATGCCAATGTGTGTCGTTTCGAACGTTGGTGAATGGCGCGAGATACCACATGCGCGAACTTTAGTTGGCCTTGAGACCTTGCATGTTATTCTGCTTGGCCGTCCTGGAACCATCGACTGCAAATCAACATTATACTCTTAATCAATGCGAGCAATAACTGCGCGGAAAGATAATTCGCAACCCTGGTAGACTACTATTCTTCAATCAAATTACGAGACTCGCTAGCATGAATTCCTTCTTATACGAAGCACAGCACAACCTCAAACACATCTAACAATAATAAACCCGGTTTTCCAATGAAAACTCGGCATTTCATTCCGTCCAGTACTTTGAGATTACTCTTATCTGTAATGTGCGCATGTTATGGAAATGCTAATCATTTGCGTAGCCCAGCTTTTCATGTTCTAATTGTCATGTAAAGTTCAGGTTTTTACGAGTTTCTTTCATAGCGTAGAAAGTTAACCCTCCAGCAGCTGTTTTCTTCAGTGTAGCTGGTACTACGAGAAGCATCTTTTGCGAATATGCATTGATTTAGAATAAGAAAAACTTCAGAATATGAATAATTTATTTTGCTCTTATGCATAAATTTACACATACAGTGAAATTTTAATTAGCTTATTATTTAAAGATATACTACTTCAGAATTTTTTTTCTATGGATATGCTATTTCATTAAATACAGAAACAAAGAAATTTACAATTTTTGTATGGTAGCTTTATTTTGGATTTTGCAAGGACAGTATTCATACAATTTGTTTTTTAGTTATGCTTATGAAAAAACAATGCAATAAACATAGCTTCAGGAAATCCTGGCAACAACTTTTCCGATACTTTTTCCGCTATGCAGGTGCTAAAAATATACAAGATGTACTGATTAGTATTTTCAAGGTTATAACTAGTTTAATAACAGCTTTATATTTTGTGCCATTAAGTTTCATTTACAGATAGCTCCAATTTTAATGCTAAGTAGGACAAGGAATTCAGTCTTGCTACTAGAATTTATATATATATATATATATATATATATAATTATTATTCTACTAATTAACGCCTTTTACTTGAACAGATAAGAATAGTAATGGAAGGATTTTAATGAATATATAATTTACGATACTTGGAGGAATTATTTATATACAATTTATTTAACAAGATTAACTGCAATCAAAAATCAAAACCGATTATACAGACAAAATAGGAAATAAAAACTCGAGGTTATACAGGGTTGGGTAAATAAAAGTGACTCGGAAAATAGAGTTATTCTGCTTTCCGGGTCACTTTTATTTACCCCATCCTGCGTTGATCTTAATTCAGCTAAATGCAGAAATAAGAAACTTCTCTTTAAGAATGACTTCTTTTAAAATTAATTGAAACCAAATTATCAAAGGGCAGAATAATTTCATAGCAGCTGTCAGCTTATTTTTTTACCAAATCATTCGACAACTGTTCGGAATGGAACGGTAGAGGTCCTTCTATGGCTCTATGTATTACACACGGTATTTGTACGGGGTATAAAAACTGATTTGTAACGGGCTCTAGTACAGCTAACCTTTTTTTTAATCATGGAATGCCATTGATTATTACTGAATGTCGTAACATATTACCTTAAAATTGTTTCAAAAATAAATATAGCACAAAGTTATCCCTAATCCATGGCTTTCTATTTTCGTATTTAAATTTCTCTTAGAGTTAATTTATAAAACAAAATTTTTAAATTACTACACTTTTCGCTCGCAGAAAATGCTTTACTAACATTCCCATTTGTTGTAATTCTTGAGATGTTTTATAACATTCGGATTGCTTTCTAGCTTTTTCCTTTATATTCTTCCACATTTGTATAAGCGACTTAGTGCCGATGAAGCCAGTTTCCAAAACAGCCTTGTTTGCATTTGAGCCTTAGAGAGGAGGATTCAGTAATTTTATTCCAAGCTGAGCTTGATCGGAAATATCCACTCATTTCATTTCATAACACAGTTTATGTGTTTACATCTCCTTCTTTAAGTAAGAGACAGTAAAGTTAGTGCTTTCAACAACGCAACTTTTTTTAACGTGGTTTATCTTGTTGGGATATGAAAACAATTTTTGAAAGTATTTTGTTCTTAATTTTCGTTTATAATTATTACATTCTTCAATAATTATTTTAGTGGAAGCTTTTAACCTCATTTTTTCATAATTTTCATTTTACACGTGCATCATCGCAATTAATTCTTCCCTAGATTTCTAAAGTAATTCATTTTATTTTTTTGTACTCACTTTTTGCTTTATCTCATGTATAAACATGCGATGATATTTCAGATGACTTCCTTGTCTATACTGATTAGAATACTTCCATTGCAATTGTTATCTTATTTCTATTTTTATAAACATACTTCAATGTAAAAGACCTGCCATCATAAACTAGATCTTTTTCGCCTTCATAACCCCACCGGCACCAATTCCATTTTCCTAAAACCTTGCTAAAAGAAGTCCTAACGTAACCAGTACCGTATAGTGCAACAAGTTGCAAAAGGAAAAAAAAAAAAAAAAAAAAAAAAAAAAACTGCTGCTAGAAATTGGTCTTAAAGAAAGATCAAATGCGAATATAAGCTAGAGCGCACCACATAAGATTTTTGATATAACGAACGGGGGAGGAAAGTATAAACTTCCTCTTCCTCTGCGTTTAAATGAGGGGGTGACAAACGAAAGTTAACATGGGAATGATTGTCAAAAGCTATTTCCGGTCTGGGAATAAAATCATCAAGGCCTCTTTTGGGATGAGGCTATTTGGGTATGCTGGGTCCTTGTCGCTAAATAGTGCATCGTCAGCTAGGTTTCAGAAATACTTATATCACTCAAGCATCTTTCCAGAACTCCAGATATACGCCATAGTTTCCTTCAATCGCTAAAAAATGTAATTTTTACGCTAATCTTTTCTCATTCGCAAATGGAACACTAGTGATTGTTAATTCATTGCTATTTTGGTACAAAATATTAGAAGTTACGTGCAACAAACTCAAGCGGTGACATCAAATAAAGGAGATGAACTGTTATTAAAATCTTTAAGAATAGAAAGCGTGTTTGCATTAACACATGTGTATGATGAAACTAGTATAAAATTTAAAACATTATTTATATATTTTGTAGAGACATTAGGTATTTTTTGAAAGCAGGAAAGATGAAAAATGAGTATTGTCCTCGCCGGAACTCGAACCACGGACCTCTCGAATATGCGCCGAGTGTGCTGACCACAACCCCACGAAGGCATGCTAAGAACGCGGTATAAATACCTTACGATTCATACATATAAATATCATAAAATTATTTACTAACAGAAAGTACAATGGTTGAAAATGATTATGTACTTTAGGACTTAAAACATGCAACGCACATTCTTCAAGTCATACCTGAAAGCAAATGAAGAAATGTATGAAGGCTTTAGTATACAACTTGTCGGCCAAAGCCCTTATCCGGTGTTTATTTTCGCAAACATTGGAAGATATACTTTCAGGCACAAAAGTTTTTTTAAATAATGCAAAAATTCCTATTTGCATGTTTTTAAAGTTAAAAAGTACAGTATAAAACACAAAATTTAACTTTTTACACGTTCCCTTCGGTCTCTGTACTTGTACTTAAATTTAGGAAAATTTTATATTCTTTTAAAAAATAAACTCAAAATGGGAAATATATTTAGAATACTGTCGATATTTAAAAGTAAAATTCAGAGAAAAGTTTAATGAATATGCAAGCTTATTTAAATTTAAAATTATTTCGTGGGAATTTTCAACTGTTAAAAACTTTCCTCGCTTTTGAATTAAAATAAAACATTAACGTTCTGCTGCGTCTAATAAAATGCATTTAAAGCATTTAGAGAGTACTTCTTGCTAACTAACTAAAAACTAATGAACAAAAATAATTCATTCGATTTCAGTGCAGTGCATTCAAAACCAATATTATTAAGTGAAGTTAAATATGAAGCCGTATTAGTTTTTCAAAAAACCTCTTTCTTTCAAAGAATTGAGCAGACTATTACTGTGAAACATTCTGTTGAATTCTTTGATTAAATTAAGAACATATTTGAAATATTTGTGTCTAATGTTAGCAATTACACTTACCTCTACTGCTTTTATAATCCCTTCCATTCCAAAGAATTCTGTTCCTGTAGAATCCTTTCCTGTATCGCAAACTGCCTTCAGTTCTCCATTTTCGAGACGTTCGCTTAGATATTTAAAATATGTTCCAAAACATTCAGCATAGTGTAGCACTAGAAATCCTTGAAGAGCTGCAGATTTGAAGAGTAACTGAAAATAAAAGTTTTTATCAGATCCACAATAAATACACAAAAAGGAGTTTTTAAAAGTAGTAAAATAAATTTTGCTTTTAGTTGTATTGCTGTCCTACGCTTCAACAAAATTAAAAGAATATTTCTACGCATATATGTTTACATTAAATGTGAAAATAAATCTATTAAATGAAGCTCAAAGCTATTAAATGTAAACATTAAAAATAATGTAAACAAATATAAATTATCGATATCTTTAATCTTCTAAAATAACAGCTCTTAGTTATTAATCTCAAATAAAATTAGGTATTTGAGCAACCATCTTAACAGAAGTTGCCAAATTTTCCGAACAAGTCAGTTTGGTACAGTTCTTCAGTTTTAAAAAGTAACGAAGCCATTTTTGTATATATTCCAAGTTCCAACGGTTTTTTATAATTAAATAATAGTTTTTCCTTCTTAAACTGAAATTTAAAATATGCCCCTGTAGAATATCTCTGCAGGGAAAAAATTTTGATAAAATTTTCTCAGGAATAAAAACAATTGCCGCAAAGTCTCTAACAGAGACATTTATTTTGAATCTAATGCTTGCAACGATCCCAACGAAATTTATGTGAGAACAAAAATACCAAAAACCCGTTCCTAAATCTGCTTTTTGGGATAAAACGAAAACTATGTGCATAATAATATGTGTATTTGGTAATTTTTTGCAATAATACTTCATTATTCTTTTCGGTACCTACGTTATCATCGTAAAACTGTCACTAAGCAGAGAGATTTAGAGCCAGTTACGGATAAGTATGAAATGACAAATCACTCGTAACATCTGCATTTTCATTTAATGTAATCCCATGATTCTAGTTAAGCTTACTTTTGTTTTTATGAACAAAATTATAAATTAACTGCTGTTGCAGAATTTTTTCTTTGCATTTTTGATAATTCTAAGTTAAAATATGAAACCTGCCTTCTACAAAACAAGAAGCAGTGGATAATTTTCAAAGTTACGTAATCCTACCCTAAAAATGTAGACACGATATGGTCAGCTGAATATAGCTGACCAAACAGCAATCTATTAGAACAGTTACTACATGCGAGAAGTCTGTACTCATAGCATTCTAAACCGAGCTTTCATAAAATCGGACGGCTTAACAAAATAATAAAAATCGACAAACGTCTTTTTATTAAGCGAGTCGATTACTGATCGTTTATTAAGTAAAAAGGAGGTACTTTTTTTTTCGAAGTCCGTAGGACTAGCACCACTTTAGCGGCATCCTCGCCAAATTCCATGGTTCGATGGCAGCCAACTTTCATTATCGACGGGATAATATGCAAGTACCTTTTTTTCTTTTGTAAAATATCGCTAAATGTGCCAAGATAAACCGTGGCCTTCGAGAGGGAGAAGGCCATGGCACTTAATAAACATGGCGGAGTTTTCCGTCCGATGTTATCTTCGGAAGTATTACTTTATCATGTTGCTTAGTTAATTAAAATAGCTGAAAGAAAGGAAGCTTTATATACATTATTTTCACTCTTTAGGCCTTTTACAGATATTTTAATTAACTTTGTTCATAAATATAATTGAAAGAACCGAAGAACAAACGAACATTTTACAAAAATTTAAACTCCGATTGAAAATTGCCACTGTTGGGAATAAATTGAGAAGGGGTTCTTAAGATAATAATTAATATTTTACATAGACTCAAGTATTAATTTATTCGCGTTTCAGAGCAAAATATATAACCAGCAACTTCTCTATCTCCAACGTGTGTAAATGAAATTCTATATAAAATAGCTAATAAATGTGATAACAAATGTTTCATACAAGAAACATACCTAAATCTTATAACAAAAAAGCCTTCCAACATTCATATTTGAAATAAGATAACCTAACAAACAACATACACTATCTTAAAATATTAAAAAATATTTTAAAATAGTGTTTGTTGACATAATTAGTGTATGTGGCAATATTTTAAAAAACACATAAACTATGCAGTGTTTGAAAGTTACCAGAAAAAAGTAACATAACTACTATTTCCAATTAATAAAAAATCATTTAGTGTTTTTCAAATAGCAAGCTGTTAAAAGTACAATAATTAGTAGCAATGCTGATGATTTTTAACATCATTTCTTTCGATCATATGTAAATTTATATGCACTTGTTATAGACAATGGCAGACTCTCACGGCCATTTTATTCATTTTTTCAAATGAATAGCATTCCTTTGGGTACTTTCCCTTGGATACTGCGCAGAAATAATTTTAATAATATACACAATAGTAAGAACTGCACATTTAAATCTGCTCTTCATTAAATAGCATGCAACAAAAAGGTTTTTCCCATTTATCTTGAATTTTATTACTATCACAAGCATATACAAAAATTAACAATGAAAATGGAATGCATTCAAATGTAATAATTAAAGAACATAACTTGCAACATTCGTATTCATATTATGAGATATACTACAAATTCCATGAGAAAACTAACGGAACTGCAATTTGCACTTAATGTAAAATTTAATGTTTTCTTAAATATTATATGATTAAAAATGCAATAATTATGGATTACAATATTTAGTAGTAATGCTGATGTTACTTAGCATCAATTCTTTCAATCATATGCAGACGTATATACATATTTTTAGCTTCTAAATTTTAGGATAATGGGAATTACGATTATCATTTATATGCTTTTTATTATTTTTTTATTGCCAGTTGTGTATGTTTGTTAGGTTATTTCATTTCAAATATAAATGTTGGAAGGCTTTTTGTTATAAGATTTAGGTCTGTTTCTTGTATGAAATATTTTTTATCATATTTATTAGCTAATTTATATAGTATTTCATTTACGTACGCTGGAGATATAGAAGTTGACGGTTATTTATTTTGCTCTGAAACGTGAATAAATTAATACTTCAGCCTAGGTAAAATATTAATTATTATCTTAAGAACGCCTTCCCAATTTATCATGAGAGTGGCAATTTTCAATCAGCGTTTAAATTTTTGTAATATGTTCGTTTGTTTTTCGGTACTTTCAATTATATTTATGCACAAAGTTAATTAAAATATCTGTAAAAAGCATAAAAAGTGTGTATGTATATAAAGCCTTCTTCCTTTCAGCTATTTTAATTAACTAAGCAACATGATAAAGTTATATTTCCGACAAAATTTAAAAATCCAGATGACTTTCCGACGATAACATAGGGCGGAAAGCTCCGCCATGTTTATTAAGTGTCATGGCCTTCTCCCTCTCGAAGGTCACGGATAAATACGCTAATACGTAACTACTTAGAATTATTATACTGAAAGTACTTTTCAGTAAATTATGTCAAATTATTCTCTTTGGCATCAAGTGACATATCCTTTTTAAGTCTTTCGCATCGAAGTTGTCCCACACGCCCGAGCATTCAGACATCGGCAGGTCGCGTGGAAACGCCTGTATAATTTCCTACCTAGTGCTTTCTCCCGCCATGTTACTGCATTGGTCATTGCTTTCATGTGTTGTTAAATGGCATGTCAATCATTCTTTTGAAGCGACTATAAGTAGTTCTGTTATTTTAATGCACCTTCGTTTTCCTTTGTTTATTGTCAAGGTTTAGCTATTGATGCCTGAAGTTGCAATCTCATCCCAAAAGGGAACTTCACATAGAGTAAAAGGGTCCAAGAAAGAAGTTCTCGCTTTGCTTAAGTAGGTTTTTGCTAGCGCTGTATTATGCAATCATAGACGCGGGCATTTTCGATGTTTGGGGAAAAGAGATTTGGCCCTCTCTCGTTGCGAAAGAGTTAAATCAGGGTTTAATTTCTAAAATTAGAAGTGCCGGAGCTCTATGGCAGACCATCAGGAAAGAGGAATATCGAAAAAGAGTAAATAAGTGAATAAAAATAATTAATTATAAAATAATAAAAATAATTACTAATAAAATCATTAATAATTTTTAAATTAAAATAGTTAATTCTCATCAAATTAATATATAAGTATTTAATCGATACTAACAATTAACATTTATGAATTATTATCGTTAATTAATGATTAATCATTAATCAATCAATTAATTATTGATTATTATTTATCAAAATAATTAAATAAGTAAAGTAATTAAAATGAAATAAAATGTAAGGAGGTAAATTAAAATTTAATAAGCGACTTTTTAATATAATTTTATTGCTGCTAAAAATAAAATTTTTGAGATCAAATTTCTACTGAAATTGTTATTCCGTAATTAGGCAAAGGAAGTGCCGGTGCCTTCTTATTTTCCCGACTAGAATTATGATTTATCCCCAAAACTGAGAAGTACCGGAGTCGGGCTCCGATGCAATTTAAGCTTTGTTAAATACATTTACTTTTGGGAACACTTTCCAAAAGATGTTTTACTTTTTATGCTAACTGCAATTTTAAAGCTAGTGTCCAAATAGCCAGCTTTGATAGTAATCACGCTACAAGTTCTAAAATGTGCAAGTAGAATTCTAACCACTGAAAATGTCCTCTTTTTCTAAATGAAAGGCCCATGAATATGACAGGAAACGTGCGTGGCTTGAAAATTTATTGAAGGAATTGTTCCGTGTTGCTTTGACTTAGTTTAGCGCTGTGCAGGCCTTTCTTTCCCTTTCATAATAATAATTCAATCATCGTCTAAGATAAAATTCATTGTTACCATAAACTCCCATGTGATCAAAATGAAACTTGACAATAATTATAAGCTTGTCCCCTCCAATAAAGGGTATTCCAATAAAAATACTATGATTTTAAAACGAATAGCGATCATGTTTAATCAGTGTCACTAATAATTATTTGTGTAGTATGCTCTGGATAAATACACTCTTCACGAACTTCGGTTATTATCTAAAAATTTTATGGAAAGTAAACGTTCGTTTTTTAATATTCAACGTGCACTTCGCGACACTATGATCCAAGTAATCGCTTTTCTGTGCTTGCTGTTTGTCTAATTGCTGAAAAATTTTTAAAGAATTTTACTGTTACGACTATTCTTTCTTCCAAAACAAAAGAGGACATGCAGTTGCAGTGATTAGTGAGAGCTATCGATTGAAGATAACCTTCTTTTTTTTTTTTTTTTTTTTTTTTTTTTTTTTTTTTTGTTTTTTTTGTTTTGTTTGACAGCGTTGATTTAGAGAATATGCGATTCAACTAGACGATTCCACGTGTCAAGCTGCTAACACCACTATCGACATATTGCAAAAAAAGTTTGGTGAAAGGATAATTTCACAAAATGAAATGAGGTTGTCCCGCCAGAAGTTGTCATTAACTCGTTTAGATTGCTTTTTAAAGAGTTATTTGAAATCAATGGTTTATGCAAACAAACCATGAGCCCTTAGTGTTAGGTTATCTCAATATAGTAAAACCACGAGAGCCATCTGCTTAACAGGAGGGATGCCTTCATGGAGAACTTTTAACGGAAAACTGGCTCGTATTCACATTACATCTGGGGAAAACCAACCACGCAGCCAGCCCGTTCGCCTGGAATTGAATCAGAATCAGATCGAGCTACCAGAGGTCTTAACCACTAGGCCATTTGTGATGCCCATACCCCTTGAAGCATTAGCAATAAACATCAAAAGCTGCTTTCGTGACATCAAGTTGAGTTATTGCACTCAATCATCGAAAACTGGGTTCATCAAATTCGTTCATGTGCTCCAAGTTGATGTGGTCATCTAAATGATGTTTTACTCTAAACATATTATAAAAAATTCTGGTTGTATTTGAAATAGTTTTTATTTCATTTTAAAATCATATTCTTACTGGAAGACCGTTTATTATGAAGTTATCCTCTGGAAATTATCAGATTATGTGGTTTCCAGGGGATAAGCAGAGTATTATTATTATTTTCAAAAATTTTACTTATTATTAACTCCTTTATCATAAATCTACACAAGATAATCTGATAAACACATTACTGCACATAAAAATGACATCTCCTTTGCAGCGCCAAGTAAGAACCATAAAATTAGAGATAAAATGCAGGTAACATTTTTCAAAAAGAAACAGAACTCAAAAACACTTGTATATTATAATATAATTTTTAAAATAAGTTATTACCGGATAATTATAATACTGCTGCAATAAAAAGCTTCTGTAAAATATTAATAATATGTAATCAATAAATGACAATAATAATACGTAATCAATAAATAATAATCTTCAAGTATAAGTTCAATTTAAATATATATATATATATATATATGAAGTACTGCTTCAATAAAAAGTATTATTAAGTAATGCTTTATCGAAAAGCAAGGTTTAAAAGAATTCTTATCTATCTAATAATCCACACTCTCATTATATATAATGAAGGAAAATCGTTAATTACATAGTATAGAAAATATTTGAGAATTTAGAACATTTTATACTAAAATTTAAAACTTACCATTTCTGGAATGGAAGAAAGGTCCACTTTTGCTAAAGCTTCTTTGTTTTCCGTCTTATACGAAGAGATGCCCCCAATAATTATAAGCCTACCCTTCTCGCTCAAATGTTTGAACAGAGTTTCAAACACTTTACCTCCTATAGTTTCCCAAATAACGGATATTCCTTTCTGTAAGGCAAAATATAATGTTTTTAATTCGGTTTTAATAAAAAAGGTTTCGGATATAATCATGATTAGTGCAGAGTTAACATATGACTTAAATTGCAAAATTACATTAACACTTCGTGAAAGATAAATAAAAGGCTCATATCAAACGCAAATTTATTTTTAAGCAAAGGCGGGAAACAAGTTTCAATTAGAAGCTGAGTCTTGAGTATCAACGAAATAAATTAAAATACGGAAAACAGACAAGAGAAGATAAATTTTTCGAAATATCAAAGGAAAATATTTACAGAAAGAACAAACTCAAAGTATGCTTCCAGTGCTCTCTTGAAAAAAGATAAGGAAAAATCTTTTTTCGTCTTATTTTTACTACTATTTATAGAGCAGCTGTTTGGTTTTCTCGCTTTGTTTGGGGGCATTTTCGAGCTGCTTGCTCATTTTTGTGATAACCATTTTTGATGCAATTTTCAATATGCAACTTTTATTGGTGTATCTTAAACAAAATAGTTTCTTATTTTCTAGAAAAATGAATTTGTTCTGCAGGTTTTTAATGTATTTTTTTATTGCTAAATAATTTCATCAATTAATTTTGAAAAATTTCAATATTTATATTTTTTAATAACGTTATTCATAAGCAGAAGGATAAGCCTGAAAGTAATACATTTTGTGTGAAAATGTTATATAAAAGTATTTTAACTAATGGCTACACAAATTTGACAAAACTCTAAATTTGAAATTTTTTCATCCAATTCCTAGCATACTCATCTTTACCCAAAGAAGTGCTTCAAATTTATAATGTTCCAAGCTACTGATTTCCTATGTAAATTTTCATTACATTTAGAAAACAACAGTCATAATTTCTTAGTAAAAGCAAACGCTAGGTGATACCTTTTGATCTTCAGTCACATTGTTTTTCGAGGCGGGGGGGATATGTGTAGTGCGAAAGCCATATAAAGTAAATGTCGAAGCTTTGGACTTTTAATCGTTCTTTGTTTGCATACGACCTTCATATTTTGTGATATGCTTGATTTTTACGCGAGTAAGTCAGCTTTTGCTCAGCCCTATGGCGACTAAATTAGTATTTTAGTCGCCATAGGGCTGAGCAAAAGCTGGCCCACAAACCGAATATGGTCCTCTGAATTACTTATTTAGAAATTACTCAATTAAATATAAATATTGTTGAAATACGAAAAAATGATCAGAAAAGGGAGCTTAAGGATTGTTACATGAGAGTTGGAACATTTGGATGATAAAATCGCAAAGGAACATTCGAGATTTCACATTATGTATATACTAAATAATATTTTTTATAACACGGTGTTTGTAGTAAAAATATATGCAAAGCTACAAATGTAGAAAAACGTTTGATTAAGTCGATGCCTCTTTTGCTTCATATCCCTTGAAATTTAAAAGTAGATTTTATATTTAATTGTATATTTAATTGATAAATATTTTATATTTTTAATTTATTAATACTCATATCTACACATGAGTAAACCAATTAAAGCAAAGCATTTCCTGCAAGCTATCGTGATCACACGTTTATCATCAGAGGGTCATCTAAAGCAAAAAATATGAAATTAAGATCCCAAACTACTATTTTAAATTGCATTTTTTAAAAAAAACTTCCACAGGTGAGTAACTCCCATTGCATCCTAGCAAACAATAGGTATACAGCAATATATCATCACACAAGCACCACTGCACTTTGCGACGGTCTTTTCCGCACAATGCACTAAAAAATTACTTTTTTAGCCTGTAGTTAAAAGTATTTACCCATGCCTGGTCTAGATCTGTTTCACGAGTTCTACTTTTATAATGCTGAGAGCAAGTCCACGTAAATTTCAATAAGCGGATGATTGAGGCTCACTTTATTTTGAATAGTAAAATACATTTATTTTATGGTAACCTTGTAGAATGAACCAATGCCCTCGCCGGGACTCGAACCACGGAGCTCTAGAATTCGCATGGAGCGTGCTGAAAACTACACTACGAAGGCGTGATAAGAAGGTAGGAGAAATACCTTATACCTGATAACAACTACAAACATTCGCTATCTTAAGCAAGTGCTTTATTATTATTACGGTCCCATCTCATTGGTCGCAAATATGATCGCAAACAGGTATAGTCTGCCCATCAGGCGTAGAACTCCGAGTAAAGTTACAGTTTTCGCGCTAGTAACCCAATTCCAATCCGTCTTTACCCTCAGCTTTCAAAGGAATTATTTCAGTTGTTTTAATTTTTTTAACAACTGATGACGCCAATAGCTGTACTTCCTTCCTCTCATTGTTGTCGCTTCAGCACAGGCTTCACTTTCGTCATTTGCACTCCTGCAGCTAAAGAGAGAAGTTTCTTTATTAAAACCTTCAAAACAAGTCCTGCAAGTTTATGTCTACGCTGATTCTTCTTACTTTAGCATTTCTAATAAGAGATAGTAAGTTTAAAATTTATTATTGAGGGATAGTTGTCCTTGCGGCAAGAAAATGCTTTAGATGTAGTATCAAAAGCAGTCCCTGAAATATAGCAACCGCAAATTTTATGTAATATGTAAACATGTTTGTGATGAATTTTCTAACTTTTCTCTATTATATCTTGGTGATAATCTTGGCGCTGCTTCAATAATAGCCATGACAATACACATCAAAACGGCATTGTAAAAAAAGAAGGAAATAAGGATGTTTATCTAATAAATTTACATTAATCTGGAAAAAAAATCTGTTGATGTAGAAGATTTTTCGAGAGGTTAGTGGTACGAAAAGAAAGTTGCTCTCTATTAAAATTATTATGGAGCTTAGACAGATAGTCCTGATGTGTTTTACCTAAGTTAAATAATGTAATCCATTAGTTTCTTAATAAATAAAATGCAATCCTCGCAGGAATAATTAAGCATTTCATTTCTAAAATAAATTTACAGGAACACATGTAAATAGCTGAAAGCTGGTAACGTAATACATCTTATGCACTCTGAACGAAACTTTCACATTCGAGGAATTTTCCTAAAGAGCGAAATTTAAATTTGTCCGACAAAATTAAAGATGTAAATGGTGTTAACGTAAATCAAAAGTCTGTAAATAAAGGTTATGCACCATTAAACTAAAGAATTTTAAATCTTAAAATGTAGCTTTTTTAAATAATGTACATAGCCAATTTAAATATTTAACAATAATTCTCGATATTTATCTAACACTAGCTTATAACTCTTTGATGAGATTTATAAGCTATGATTTTTTGGAGAATTTGTTGGAATGAAAAAACAAAGCTATGAAATTTCTACATTAACTTTTCATGAGCAACAGACTGTCGTAATATTTGAATAAATGCCAAATAACGTTTCAAGCAATTTCAATAACTTTGTTAAATCAAACTAGCATTCTTAAGAACTGAACCTACAGCTAGTAACTTAACTATTTCAGATTCATTATACAAAAATTTTAATTTTTTTTTTTTTTTACCTCATATTCCTTGGAGAGAATTTCGTCGAGGTCTTCTGTCTTGTAGTTAATTATACGATCGCAACCGAATTCCTATAAGTCACAAATATATGTTTTAAACATTAAGTTGTTAAATAAAATGAAAAAAAAATACATTTCTAGTGTTAAATTAAGTAATTATCTATTTTAATATTGATTTACTTTTAAGGAATAAGTACTAATTTAGTTACAATTTACTAATTTAGTTATTTTGTGCCGATTATGACAGAATGTAAAATAAAAGGCAATCGACATTTTTATACTGAAGAGATTAAGTTTCAGATGTTTTACAATTAGTTACATTGATAGTTACATAGGGTAAATGGATTGGATTATTTAATTATGGCTATCTGCCTAAAGGGAGGGATGCCTACGTGGAGGACTTCCTAAGGGAAACTGGCTCGTATACACGTTACACATGGGAAAAACCACGAAAACACCCATGCAACCAGTCCGTTCGCGGGATTCGAACCTCGGACTAAACTACCAGTGTTCAGAGTCTTTACCGCTCGGCCGCTGGTGGGCCTACATTGGGTAAACTATTGTGGATTGAATAGTTATATAGGGTAAACTACTCAATCCTTTCTATTAAATAATAAAGAATCTGTGTATTGATATGCACACACACTGCGTAAAGAAAAAAAAAAGGGCGGAATAGTTCTATATCTCCCTGGCCTGAGTTCTATCTCTGTGCTTAGCTGATTGACGAAATTCAAATTGCGTTTTTCCTGTCTCGAAAGCGCAACTTAATATATATATTCGATTTATATATAGCATTGTTCTAACATAGGTATTTTGACGCAAAATCGGACTTTTTACGAAATAACATGCCAAAGTTTTTCCATATTTCTGTTCTACGACTCAAATTATGCCTAAATAGTAAATTTTGTAAAATTTGATACAAAATTTACAGAGAAATTCAAAAATTTATCTTGGCGCTTTCTTTTTTTCAGTTTGCGCCAATAATAATTCTCTTGTCGAACTTCTTAATGTATAACAATCTATTTTCCTTTCCTGTTTTTTCGGTGTAGACGAGAGGAAAAACGGTCATCGTTCACACTTTTAAATAATTTAAACAAAGTGCGTAAACCACATTTGACCTTATATCGCTGAGAATGAATATGCCAAACTTCAAAACACGCCAAAATGTAAATTCAGGTATATCTTAAAAAAAAATTGAATAAAAAAAATTTTTTTTCAGGTATGGTTAGAAATACATCCATTTTAAAGACCGTAAAATTTACATCCGTTTTGAAGACCGTAAAAAAACTGCAGCGAAAATGTATGCGCAAAAGCGTCAAATCTAGCAAACGCGCCCATTTAACTATGGAGGTAGGAAGTAAGAGTAGGAAGTCCTTTCCTACCTCCATGCATTTAACAGCACGCCAAACCTAGCGTAAGCGCTGATTTCAGATAGCGTAAGTTTATATAGTTCTATATTTTTTAAAACGCCATTGAAATAGTAGCTTAATTTTTAAATCCTTTTTTGATTTTAACTCCTTTTTTGATTTTAACTCCTTTTTTGATATCCTATGGATTTAACAATTTGAGAATTGCCCATGGGGAATAGTCTGCAATAGAGTTTTGGGTAAGGTGCAGAATCAACCACTGCTTGACGCGTTTCTAAGAATAGCACATACTCGGTATCCATGTACACAGCGACCTATTATCACTTAAAAAAATCCCAGAATTGTACAAAAATGGCACTGCGCACACCCTTGACTTTATCTATGTACACATCGACCTATTTTCACTTAAAATGTAAAAGAAAATTGACAAAAATCCAATTGTTTTTACCCTTGTAAAAAGCGGCAAACAAATAAGTGGGCGATTCTGCTCTTTACCGAGAATATTTTCAAAAAAAAAAGGCATCATTCATTATAGAAAATTACGTTTGAACAACCAACGAGATGAAATTATGCTTTAACGATAAGTCGGTAGCGAAATAGCGATGCAGGCATGCATTCAGTTATGTTTAGCCTTTTTTATATAAATTATAATAATAAAAAGTATTATATGAAATTAAAACATCAATCTTAGATATTTATTTACTATTATACTTCCTTTCTTGCATTAGGGTTGCCGCAATCATTTTTGGCAGCACTAGCATCAACAATAGTTTGGCGATTTTTTTTACGGCCCTCAAAACCGAATAGTACCCCTATTTTAAGATGATGGTAAAAAATTTTATAGATTAAAATTCAATTTTTTTTAATTTATAAAAATTTAAAAATACAAATTTTAAGAATAAATCATAAAAAATGGATGAATTTTATTTGAAATGAACCTGAATTTCGAAATATGAAAGAAAGAATCAAAAGGGTTTAATAAAAAAAAGAGATATTAATAAATATATACCAAACTCAATTAACATTGAGCAGCTAAAATTTGAGAGCTAATTTTTTAAAAACTACGTGCGATTTTTACAAAACTTGGCAGTTTGACGTAATTTGAGTTGTAGAATCGAAATATGGAAAAAAAATTGGCATGTCATTTCAGAAAAAGTCCGATTTTGTGTCAAAATACCTATATTAGAGCAGTGTTATATATTGTGACGATACAGCTACTAGCACCCCCGCGGGCACAGGTGCTGAATTATAACTTCCTGTTTGTTCGCGGACGAAATGGACCATACCTGCAAAAGCAGGACTGCAGATAAAACCCCCTGGGAGTTTCCGGACACAAGGAACTAATTATGTTTCTCTTCGCAGATAACAAAACGAGTGAAATCTTTGTGTAAGAGTTCTTCATGTGATTTTGAGGTGACAGGACGCATCTTTTACGTTCTAAACCACGCCAGTGGTTTCTGTAGAACAATAGTTTTTTTTATGCTGTAACTACAGTAAAAAGGACGCTTTGTCCGGATATCAATAGAGTTTTGCAGATATTACAGACCGTCAGGTTCTGAAGTGCAGCACGAAAAAGTTTACGAACATCAGTTAGAAAAAGTGATTACAGCTCTTCGAAGCGACGAGATCAGAAAATCCATGCAGAAATTACAGACCGTCAGGCTCTAAAAATTCATCTCAAGATTGTGGGACAGTCATTGTCCGGATATCAACAGTGTTTTGCAGATATTACAGACCGTCAGGTTCTGAAGTGCAGCACGAAAAGTTACGAACATCAGTTCGAAAAAGTGATTACAGCTCTCCGAAGCGGGGAGATAAGAAAATCCATGCAGAGATTGCAGACCGTCCGAGTCTGAAATTCATCTCGAGTTTGTAGGACAGCCATTGTCCGAACATCATCAGTGTTTGCAGATAGTACAGACCGCCAGGCTCTGAAGTGCAGCACGAATTTACGAACATCCGTTCGAAAAGTGATTTACAGCTCTTCGAAGTGGGGAATAGAATCCACGAAGAAGTTACGGACATCAGTCCAGCAAAAAGAGGAACGACAGTCTCCTGAAATAAGCTCATCTTTAAGCGCGGTGATAAAGGTGTTACTTGTGCGATCATCTTTGTGTTCGAGAAAATTTACCGCAGTGAGCGTGTGGGACAATCATTGTCCGAAGATCATCAGATCATTGTGATGTGTAGAGTATTGAAAAAGTGATATGTGGGTGATCACCCTTGTGATCGAGAAAATTTAGATCATCAGATCTTGTGTGTGTGCGTTATAGGTGCCTGGATCATCAGTGTCCATAAAATCTTAAATTGTGAGAAGCGAAGTCTCCAATCCAGACGGGTAAGTACCTTGGATTTTTATATTGAGGCAGTAAAGTAATTTAATTTATTTCTGTAAATCAGTATGTAAGTTCACATAACTGTTTTAAGTCAACTTGTTCCTGTAAAGCTTAAAGAAATGTGCTTTTTGGGTTTTATGTTACAATAAGAAAGTATAAAATTTAGAATTTAAACCTGTGTTAATAGATTTTTTTTAATATCTGAAATGTTAATGTGTTGTGCTTAAATTAAACTTATATATTGGATTGTGTAAAGGAGTAGAATTACTGTAACTTGAAGGTTTTAATGTTAGGTGGCATTCTGACATATCATTTCTAAGACGTTTTGAATGTTATAAATATTAGAATTTCAGTTAAGGTGTGTCAAACTTTTATTTGTGTAAGAACTGAGAATTTTTTTTTCTATTGAAGGAGTAAAAGGGGAATGATAAAACCCCCAGTATCTTTCCTTTTAACTGTTGTCATATTAATGTTAATTACTAGCATATGGATAGGTATTGTGTAATTTATTGTATTTCTGAATGCATATTTTAACATATCCCAAATTTTGAGGAAAGTATATTGTATTATCATAAGCAAGTGTGTTTTACGCAACTGAATTTAAAGCTTTTCAGAGGATAATATTATTTGTAGTTTCATACGTCCTCAAGTAGACAATTTTTGTTTTTATTTTTGAATGCATAATGTGCATATTATAGTGTAAACTGTCTTGTTTTTGTCTAACATCTGTAAAATAGGTTGTGAAAAAAATTATAAAAGTTTAATTTTTACTCTCTCTTGTGAAAATGATATCTGTTTAAATCAATTGTATGTATCTGTAGTGTGAGGGAGCTAAAATTGTTAGGATCATAATTTTGGTTATATCATGGCATTCTTAGCAAAAGTTAGGAAAGAGGATCTTAAATCCTTGGCTGAAGAGTTAGGGGAAAAAGTTACCCTGAACTTAGGATATTGGATTTAAGACAGCTGATTATGGGAAATGAATCCTATGAGGAGGAACTAGTGAAAGGCCTGTTAGAAAATATCACTTCAACGAGGCTTGAGAGAGAAAAAAAGGAGCAAGAAAGAATTAGGAGAGAAGAAGAAGAAAGGCAGGATAGAATTAGAAGAGAAGAAATGGAATTTGAATTATCCAAGTTACGTTTACTAGCCGCTAACGGAAATGACTCTGGAAATGGTGGGAATGAAGAAAATGGACTAAAAAAAGCCGATACGATCTAAAAAAAATGATGCCAAAATTTGATCCTGAAGAGAACGATATCAGTTTGTATCTAGTCATGTTTGAGCGCCAAGCAAAGCGTGCGAATCTTCACCAATCAGAATGGGTTTCGGTTTTATTGACAATTTTGCCAACTGACATAGTTCAGCTGATTATGCGAGAACCAGAACAGCAGGCTTATGATTACGCTTATATAAAAGGGATACTGCTTAAAAGGTTCAAACTTAGTCCAGAAAAATTTCGCATCAAATTCGTGCAATCTCAGAAACACCCCCAAACCACTTGGAGAGATTTTGCCTTTGAATTAAGGAATTACTTTGAAGAATGGATTGCAGGTTTGGAAGTTACGGATTTTGAACTTTTAAAGGAGCTCATGATAACGGACCAAATGAAGCGTCGTGTAAATGCCGAAGTGCGGCAACATTTTATTGACGAATGGTCGAAGATAACGACTCCAGAGAAATTAGCGGAAATGCTGGAAGAATATGAAAATGTGCGTGAACCCCGGAAGAAGATCTCTCCTGTTCATAGTTCGGAGTCACAAAGGGGAAATACAAATAATTTAAATTCGAGGGATCCGCAAAAGTATCACCAGTCTGGAGGGGAAGATAGATATGCCTCTGACAGAAAGGAACATCTCCGGAATCAGGATGAGCGTCAATTTGATATGAGAAGACCCCTTAAGTGCTATTCTTGTGGTTCAACCCAACACTTAAGGATTCAATGTCCGGAAATTAAAAGGGATCTCAAAACTCCGTTTATTCTAAATAGAGTCCAGGAGATTGAAGAAGATTGTTTAGCCCCGTATGTAACGATGGCTAAAGTGAACGGTTTTGATCTTCCAGTTTTGAGAGATACCGGGTCATGCATTGACGTAATTTGCAAGAAATATCTCACTCCTTCGATGCTGACGGGCGAGACTGTTTGGGTAAAAACACCCGTTTGATGAGGCCCCAATTTGTGTACCCTTAGCAAACGTTACAATAGAAGGAACTTTTGGCCAAGTAACAACAAAAGCAGCGGTCACTCGAAATGAATTGGAACATTATCTGTTAGGAAACAGAACCGCCGAAAAATTAGCCGTAGATCAACACGATAAACTTTTCTTTCAGGTGAAAACAGGTATTCGAGCTCCGAGTCAATCAAAGAATGAAATGGAGAAAAGTTGTCCACTGGAGTCTGAACGCGGCGCGAACTCGAACCCTCAAGCGAAGTTTCTCCCCTCATTATAGAAAGGGGTAAAGTCTTGTCTCAAACACAAAGGATAGAGAAAACAAATTTCTTTCTGCCTGAAACGAAAGTGAATGAACTATCACTGCCTACAATAAAATATTCTTTTATAGCGGACCTACAAAAGAAAAGTGACGTTGTAAAGCCATCTTGTGACTTAGTCGCGTTAAACGATCACAGTAATTCTTTGGGAAAGGTGTACAAGTTAAGAATTACCTTTTCGGTTCGGCACGAACAAGAAACTGTAGATAAGCTAAATGACGTTTCGTACCAACCAGACTCGGGAGGTTTGCGAATGCCTAGAAATTCCGTAGGAGAATTGCCCAAGACACCTAGTAGTGTAAATTTACCAAGGAAAGTAGAAGAATCCCCAGTTTATCATTTATCTATACTAGTGCCTGATACTGAACGGTCAAAGGGGATTAAATATAGCTACTTCATGAATGATGTAAATCCAACTTGTAATGAAGTGGTTTTTTCTGATGTTAAAGCCAAATTAAATGTACATGTTTATTTTGAGGTCAAATGTAGTAGTTCTCATCCAGGTGTTGGGTTACCATTGAGAGTTTATCACAAACGGAAAATTAAAAATCTGCAAGGTTTCCCTTTTCAGCCTGGCTAGATATATAATTAATATTAAACTTAGGAATGTATATTGTATATTACATTTTTCAGAAAATTATACGTTCTTTATTTGTATGTGTATAATTAAGTTTATTTCTCAGTATTATGTTGATTATATGTTTTTTTTACTGGCCTCAATATAGTTCTTGTTATGTTTATCCATGGTACTTAGCCCAGTGTTGTTGTAAAATGTATTAATGCTAATAACTACTAATTAGTTTACTTTGAAAACTTGCTGTGGTAGCTACCGGGAATTGGAGTTCTGAAAACCCCTGCCCCCCGGGAAGAAAAGGGGTTGTGACGATACAGCTACTAGCACCCCCGCGGGCACAGGTGCTGAACTATAACTTCCTGTTTGTTCGCGGACGAAATGGACCATACCTGCAAAAAGCAGGACTGCAGATAAAACCCCCTGGGAGTTTCCGGACACAAGGAACTAATTATGTTTCTCTTCGCAGATAACAAAACGAGTGAAATCTTTGTGTAAGAGTTCTTCATGTGATTTTGAGGTGACAGGACGCATCTTTTACGTTCAGTCGAACAATAGTTTTTTTTATGCTGTAACTATAGTAAAAAGGACGCTTTTTTGCGTCCAATCTGCGTTAGCGGATATTGTATGATTTAGAGCTGTAATGATCAGTTTATTTTTATGTTTTAATCAAGAAATCTATTTTAGTTCATGAAATAAATAATTTAAAAGACAACCTGTCTTTCTTTCACCCGACACGGGTGTACCGACGTTACAATATAAATATAATACATATCTTAAGTTGCTTTTCGAGACATGAAAACGCGATTTGAATTTCATCAATCGGCCAGTAGAACGAGAGAGATAACTGTCCTTTTTAGTCCAAAGGTTATTGATATTAGTTATATTGCACTAAATGTGCTCATTAAAATCATTATACATTTTAGCTTTCCATAATTACTATTTTAAGAGGTTAGTATTATATAAATTGGTAAACTTAATACATATTTTGTTATCAAATTTATTGGAAACGATATACGATGTATGAAAAATAATAATCGTTCTGGTATAAGAGCAATCCAACTCAGCTCAGGAATAAATATGGTTTAAACGATGTATCAGAAACTGAAGGAATTTATATTTTTAATTCTTTTTTTCGATAAGGAGAAAATTACATTTAACTGAAAATTTTACTAATGTTAATTTACTGAAATTTTAAAGCCAAATTCCTTTTCTATATTTCTGGAGTGTAAAATTTAATATTAATTGATTATTTCAAATTACTGATTTCCATAATACTATGGATTAGAAATGAAAACTTAAATAGACTTTAAAAATCAAATTTTTAATTACTTTTAAAATTTTTTCCTTCTCTGCAGTTGAACAAGTTCCTATGACATGGCAACCAGCAGCTTTGGCCCATTGAACCTAAATAAAAAAAGAAATTGGCATTTTATTAATGAAATACATAAAAACAATTGAATACACATATATTTAAGATTTTAATTTAAGAAATAATTATTTATTGTTGAGAAGTTTCCAAATATTGCTTTAATAAATGCTAATTTTGGTAGCTTTAAAAGGATCTTGTTTAATTCTAAATCAGAAAGCAACTTTATTTTAAAAAGAATTTGAGAATAAAATTTGATTTGAAAGTTGTTTTCAATTACATACATGGGACATTGTTAAAAACATATAAAATTTCATCATTTTACGAGTAAAATCTTCCGATTTCATTATAAATTACAAATGAATTTTATTTCAAATTTGCTTCATATAACCTACAGTTCCTTTAAAAATAAGTCAAATTTTCTGCATCAAATACAAGAAATTCTGAGAAAACTGTCATGAATGACCAAATATAGTAATACCTCGGTTATGTCATTAATGCGGTCCAGAACTTTAGATGTATACCAAACTCACTTTTCCAATAAAAAATAAAGAGAAAGTAGTAAAAAAAATCCCATTTTGATTATTATAACACTGTTTTAATACTAAACTACAAATACTGTGCATGAAATATATACTGTATATAAATGCTTTTCTGTTATTCAGATAAAAAGCAATTTTTAACATGTTCATAATCAATTTTACTCGGCATATGGTATGCAACAGCCAAGTCCCAGATAAATACGCCGTTTTCATACTTTTCAATAATCTCTTCCTCCATTTACACAACGAAGAAAATGATCCTAACCATTTTCTTCGTTCCTCCTTATCAACCTTTCATAAATCTTGTTGTTCCTAAAACTCATTGTAATGAATTTATAAAATATTTAAGTGAAGCAAATCATTTGAAAATTCAGTTATAAAACTGGCTGTTTTACTGAATAGTAGCCACAGGCATACTGACGATCGTGGCTCAAGATAAATATTTAGTGATGTTCACATTTCCTTTTCATTTCTGCAATTATGTTAAAAATGCATTAAAATTGCATATTCCTGTCATTTAATGTGTAATATACAAAACTTCTATAAAGATTCAAATCGGTCAAATTACTTAACACTAAAAAAGCTAACTCGGGCGATATGGTCTTTTATTAGTCGCTAATGGAAAGAGCAAACAATTCTTGAACACCAGATTTATGTACATCTGTACCAATGCGAATGGGGCTACCAAGAATTCTGGAAATTTACCAAGGTGCTGATGGCTATAAGTCTTGTCACTTAAGATGCAAGCACCTTCATGCAAGGCGACGATTATTAGCGAAGAGAGAAGCCATCATAAAGCCGCCGGCACTTGGACAAAAGATGCTTTCTTCAAGTTCTGCACTGGTGTCGGTACCTTTATGAGGTTATTTTACCATTACCTTTTGTATTAGTTGAGAAATGCTTGGCGCCAGAGCGGAATGTTGGCTAATGGCGCATGCGCCGCCGGAATTGGCGTTGAAATGTATTCTGTGAGAAACTTGATTTATGGTACATTCGAAGTTGCGATTTATATGTTACGCTGTAAGGTGGAACCTAGCGCCTGAGTGTCGCTATGGAAAATAAATGTATTTAAACTGTGTAATGTGTGTGGAGTTATTTTATTACGATATACAGCTATCGACGGGAAATAGAATAAGTCATTTCAAGTTTTGTGGCCAATCAGAGCCGGAAGAGCTAATAAAGTTTATGAGAGTACGAATTTACTTTCGGTTTGTGAAATGAAGAATTATATAGGATACTTCAAGATTGAAGTTCTGTAGAAACAAAAGGGTAAGTACCCTCCTCCTTTTTGAAGCTCATTGTACCATTTTGAAGCTCTTTATTTGTTTATTGACTTTTGCTAATTTAAAATGTCACTAAAGGAGATATTAGCGAAAAAAACGTACATTAAAAACACAGTTAATGAAGTTAAAAGGTTGCGGACGAAAATGTCCAAGGAAAGTGACTTGGAAGTACTAAAGAATAAATTTAAAGTGTTTGAGACAGAAATAAATTCTAATTTCGATTCTTTGTTCGGGTTATGTACGGAAGAAAGTATTGATGCTTATGTAAAAGAGAAAGAAGAGATTGAAGATATTCTCTTAGATGTAGAAGTCGAATTAAATCGTAAATTAGCTAAACTTTCCAAAGAAATTAAATCGGAGCCTTTGGTTTGCACGAATACTGAGAACAATGTTAAATTACCCAAAATTAATTTGCCAACGTTTTCGGGTAACTTACATGAGTGGCTTTCATTTAAAGATATCTTTTTAGCCAGTGTTGATTCAAATCCTAATTTAACAGATGCAGTCAAATTACAGTACTTAAAATCTGCGCTAAGAGGTGATGCTTATCGTATTGTGCAGTCAATATCCATAGTTGACTCTAATTATAAATTAGCCTTTTCATTACTAGAAGAAAGGTTCTCTAATCACCGTGAACAAGTGTATGCTCATCTGAGACGATTTATGAATATGCATCCTATGCAAAATGAGTCTGCGTCAGCAATATTAAACTTAATTGACATTACAAATGAATGCGTGAGATCATTAGAAGTTTTAAATCAGAGTGTTAACGGTTTTTCTTCCAATGTGTTTGCATACATTTTAGGGCAAAAATTAGATCCTAACACCAAAATATGGTGGGAAAGAAAATTAGAGAAAGAGAATTTGCATAATTTAACAGATCTTATAGAATTTCTTAAAGATCATGCAAGAACTCTCAACGCTTCAAATAGTGTGACTAACACAAAAAAAAAGTTACACATAGAGTTACCGCTGTCGTTTCTAATGCAAATGAAAAACATATGCAGAATTCGTGTAGGTTATGTAATTTGAGCAATCACAAGCTTTTTAATTGTCCTAAATTTCAGAAATTAAGTGTAAAAGAAAGGGTAGAATTTGTGAAAAAAACAGAATTTATGTTTTTGTTGTTTTAATTTGCACAGTGTGAGAAATTGCCGTTCTAATTACTTGTGCAAGAAGTGTAAGAAAAAACATAGCTTTCTCTTGTGTTATCAAAACGAAAATAATTCCGTTGGAACCACAGTAGAAAGAGCAGACACTTTAGATCAGGAGTTGGGTGATCAAAACAGCAATGCGTTAAATGTACACGCACCTGCATTTCAAGCTAAAACTCAAAACGAAACCTTTACAGCCGCTACGGGTACTAATAGTGGGAAAAACGTGATTTTATCTACTGCCTTTGTATTCATTGAGACTAATGATGGAACTTTAATTAAGGTGAAAGCGTTATGTGATAGTGGAAGTGTTTCTTGTTTTTGTACCACTGAATTAGCGGATATACTTAATTTAAAAAGGGAAAAGACAAATATTTCGGTTTGCAGTATATCAGGTATTTCAACTACGATAAAAAGAAAAGCAGTTGCCCTTATCTGTAATCAGGAACAAACGTATAAAAGGAAACTAGAGGTTTTGGTAATTCCAAAAATAGCAGGTTTAACTCCCGCAAAGTTTATCGATGTTAGTAACCTTGTGATTCCTGAGAAGGTGAATTTAGCGGATCCGGAATTTTATAAACCAGAGAAAGTAAACCTGTTGCTCGGCGCGGAAGTTTTTTATGATATGTTACGAACTGGTAAAATCTATGTTCCTAACACAGGCTTGATATTACAAAATAGTGTGTTTGGATATATAGTTAGTGGAAATGTAAATGATTCACGGAGAAATAATTTATCGTATTGTGGGTTAATAAATGATAATTCAGAGAGTGAACTGAAAATGTTTTTCGACCTAGAATCATTAGGCATTAAAGATGATCTTTATTGTCATGAGGAAGACAAACCATTGGAAATATTTAATAAGACAGTTTGTTTTAAAGCTGGTCGCTACGAGGTTACTTTACCTTGGAAAAGGGACTGGAGGGAATTAGCCGATAATTACCGAGTAGCGGAAAATAGATTAAAAACTCTTGCATAGCGAATGAATTATGACAAAACACTGTTTTCTACATATAGTGAAATATTAGATGATTATCTCAAGCAAGGTATCATTGAAAGAGTGTCAGATGGAAATATACCTATCGGTAAACCAGTGTTTTACCTACCACACCAACCGGTATTTAGAGAAACCAGTGCTTCAACGAAGACTAGAATAGTGTTTGATGGCAGCTCACATGAGTTCGGGCAGCTATCACTGAACGATTGTCTATGGACAGGGACAAATTTAAATCCTAATATGTTCCATCTGCTAATTAATTTCCGATTAAATAAAGTTGCAATTTCAGCGGATGTAGAAAAAGCATTTTTGCAGATTGCTTTGGCAGAAAAGGATCAAGACGCAGTGCGATTCCTGTTTGTGGAAAATACACAATTAAATGATCTAAAACTAGCGACATATAGATTCAAGCGCGTAAATTTTGGGATTAAGTCAAGTCCGTTTTTGTTGGCTTTGTACAATTAAAGAACACATTAGAAAATATCGAGATGAGCAGCCAGATGTATTTGAAATATTGAATTCTTGTGTTTATGTTGATGATTTTATTACTGGACAGGACAGTGTAGAAGAAGCTCTAAGCTTATCGCGAGAAGCTAAACAGATTATGAGTGCAGCAAATATGAACTTGCGTAAATGGGTATCCAATGATCCTGAGCTGATGAGAAAAATGGGAAAAAGGAAGATTTCGAGATCCATCCCACATAAAATCAATGAATCAAACGAGACACTTAAGATCTTGGGAATATCTTGGGATACTAATGAAGACAGTCCGAGTATAGACAAAGATAGTTTGATAGAATTCCTTAAGAATAAGCGTAATACGAAACGGTTCATCTTGAAAACTGCCGGGAAGATTTTTGATCCCTTTGGGTTAATAACTCCATTTACCGTTAGACTTAAATTCTTGCTACAAGAACTTTGGGTTCGAAAATTGACATGGGATGATGAACTACCTACAGATATCTGTCAAGAGTGGGCAAAGTGGTGCTGTAGCAGTTCCAAGATTCATTTTGAATCCCGAAGCCGATTCCATAGAGATCCATTGCTTTTCAGATGCCAGTC